TTTTCCTTCTGGACACAAGATGTCTCCTACTTCACTGTAAAGTCCATTCTCAGTGGATGTGCAGTGGTGGCTTCAAGTTTCTACATCACCCTGTACAAGTTGATACTGGACCAACTCCTGGCTTAATGGTCACAACATTTTCACTTTAGATTCAAGACTTAATTGTCTCTTATGGGACACCAGCTGTTGCAGCAGTAAAAGGTCACCAAAGGACAATAGAGAATAAATATGGTGGGCATATTGGGAATTAGACAGAACACAAACAGCAAATACAGCACCCGAAAACAGTAAGTGGAGAATTTCATATGAGGAAAGAAGAATTAGACCCCTTTAACCTGGACTCCTGAAAGAAACCCCAAGAAGTTGTTACTGTACAACAGCATTGACTCCATCCCTTTTTAAGAACTTCTTGTGGGGTTAATGGTCTTTCCTCTGGCCACACCCTCAGGTCGAACTCTCACAAAAATCTAAAAATCTAAAAAGTATAAGCACGCAAAAAACGACTTTGCTGCAGTCACAAGAGTAAGTGAAATAAGGTACTGTCTAATCCTGCAGCAGTTACGTGTAGGGGTGTAAGAAAATATCTAAAAATATTTTATCGCAATATTGTATCCATTCTCAAAAACACTATCAATTCTTATGTTTAAACCCCTAACTGCTAGATAGCAACGTTACATCGACTGTGATGAATACAAATGCAGATCCCACTGTTCTGGTTACACAAATAAGTTAACTTTTTAACCCCGGTTTTATGCATATGGTGGTGTGTTTTTTGAACTATGACAGTTTTCCTTGAAATTTGATTTTCATTATTAAATCACAATATATCACAATATATTGAACCGTAACCCCTGTATCGTGATACATATCATATCGCCAGATTCTTACCAATACACAGCCCTACTTACATGGATCTGTCTCAGACTAAAGGGTCAAACATCCTTCCTGACATTTTACCTGCGTGTTGCCAGAACTGGATGTGTTTGATTCCCACAGTGACCAGTTTGTCCATCAGCATGGGATTACACTTCACCACAAATATCTTCTCCTTATGACCTCTGAAGAAGAAGAGACACAAGTACATGCAGGATAAACAATTGCAGTTCTATGTTTTTTTACAGTGTATGAACCTCTTGGTATCTTACAGCGGTATTAGCTGTAGTTTTTTACAGTACCTGGCAGTAGCGAGTTTCTCTCCTCTCTTCCAGTCCCAGACTACAATTGAATGTCCGTCATCGACTCCCACTGACACCAGACTCTTCCCATCAGCTGCAACAGGAACACAGAAAGAGGTTTTTACCTTTTTCACAAAGCAAAGAGCCGCCGACAGAGAGAAACTACAGCTGGAGTTTAGCATGTACTCAAACAAGGTGAACACAAAAGAACCTAAATGGACAGACCTGAACCCAGACCAGGAGCTGTTCTTACAATGCAGTTTGACTGTGTGTGTTGTATCAACTCAAGCAGACAGGGTACAGTTTATAATTTTGCTTTTCTTTGGGGATTTGTGGGATTTAAATGGATAAATAAACAGCTAACCAGCTAGCTAACGATTGACGTGGATTAGCTAGCTAGTTAGCTCACGTTTTGCTTACATTAGCTAGCTAACTTAAGCTAAGTTAAGATGTGACTACATATCACTTTTATCTTTTTTATCTTCAAAATGTGGTTGTCTTTCAACATAGACTAGCCTCGCACATATCTACGTACAGGAAGGGAGGAAGTTGACCGAGGCTTGCTCAACTGTTATTGGACAGTGGAGCAAAAAGGGGTGGGACGTGAATGTGTGTGCGTGTGGTTTTTTTTAAACATCTCTTGTCTTTTAGAAAAATAATATTTATTAAAAATAAATAAGGTAAATAACAATAAGAGACAAAAAATACAGAATTTATACAAAAGGGGAGAAAAAGAAACCAAAAAACAACTAAAACAAAGGAAACCAGCCCCATTAGGGGGAAGTTAGATCAGTTCATCATGCCATCCATCACTTTGTATATCATTATGTTCCAGGAAATTCTTACAAAAATCCAAAACAGACATTAAATAAGGACCTGGCATTGTTTAAAGATACAAAATCATCTGGGTAAATTCAAATACAGAGTTTAGGATAAAGAGGCACAGGGATGTGAATGTGCATTCTGTTCAACAATTATAGGGAGACTTCAGTCTGGATCAAAGTGGTGGACTGACTGACTGGCATATTGACATCAAGGCTGAAAGTGAGGCATCTGGGAGGGAGTATCAGTACACACACACACACAGAATACCTGAGAAGTCCAGAGCACACACTCCTCTCTGATGGAAACCTTTCAGCAAAGAGAGACACTTCAGGGTCTGGATGTCCCACACATGGATGGCTGGGTCCCTCCCCACCTGCACACACACATCACATGCTTTTGAAATCCACTAATTGCATTCAAACATTTACAGGCTGTGTGTGTGTATGCACCTGTCCCGTAGCAGCGTAGTCCTTCACCGGGTGGATGCTGAGGCTCAGGATGTCGTCATCGTGTCCGAGGTAGAAGCGCTGGCTGTGCAGCTGCCGATTGTAGACCACGCCCACCGCCGCCACGTGGTACAACACCTCCCCCCCCTGAGTGTAGAACAGGTTGTTCCTGCAGTCATAACCGCGGTATCTGCACACCCACACACACACACACACACAATACAGAGCATTCACCATTAGGGTTACCTAATGGTGGAATGTAACATTTCACACATTTTTCTCTCCTAAAAAGTTTTACTTCACCATATTTATCTGACAGCTTGAGTTAATACTTTATTTACAAGTAAAGATTTTTCCATCCATTGCCACGCCATCTGAACGTCTGTGACTCTGAAGACATACCACCAGCAGGTCTAACCAAGCCAGGCAGGTTTCAGGGTAGAGGCCGGACGAAAAGCAGCTCCTGGCCCCGCAGTGGGTGCAAGGCTAACAACCCCCTCCGTAAAATACCATCCTGTTACAGAAACTGTGACAAACGCAAATGCTAAAACTACAGGCCGCACAGTGGACTCCAGCCAGTCCATTCACAATATAAAAGCCATTAACAGGAGGTCAGGAATGTGATAGACAGTCTAAACAAAGGTCCGCCTAGGAGCACAGAATATCTGCACCATGTATGAGACATCCAAACTAACCTGGGTCACCAGTGAGATATTTTAGTAAATCTGTTATATCACACTTTTCAAAGCCACGAGACTCCTTTGACAAAAACAGTCATTTTTCCTCACAGAACACAGAGGATGCTGGTCCACCGCTGCCTCAAGCCGCAGCAACTAATTCAGATCCAATCTTTGTATCACAGGAGACTCGTGGCTTTGGAGACAGTCATACAAAAGCTTCAGTTTCCTGTCAAAAAGGGCTAAGGTAAAGCAGTGAACATATTCTGAATGCTCCTGTCTGATTCTCCAAACTGCATGTAGTTTCATTTGCAGAATTAAATATATCTTGTCTACTCTTTATACAAAAAAGGTCACTCCTGTATTATAACCAAAAACACAGGATTAGAAACTGCTATCACTCTTAAACTGGGCACGGAGAGGCTCTTGTATTGTTTTAGAATCATGAAATAGTTTGTCAATTATTCAATCAGCCAACAATAATAGTTATTACAATGATAATTATGTAAAATTCCTATCTTGCCTCAAAAAACTAGCTTTTAATTCCAGGCTTTTTGACTAGGAAACACTCAGCAGCCAATATTGCCACCATAATGTGACGCACGCAATCTCTAACATCATTTAATGGGACATTCAATCAGTTCTATTCTGCATTTGATTCAATCACAACTCTGCACAGACTAGAACATGTGCTATTAAAGGAATATGTAACATTGTTAGCTTCATCTCTCTGTTAAAGTGATCTGTTTTTGATAATGCTTGTCAGGGCTTTATAACAGCAACAACACTACACACAGGGTTTCATTATCAAACTGATTTTACTTTCTTTGAACAAAAGACACGACACTTGGATGAGAAATGTATTACAGTGATCTCAATCATGAGTTTAATCTCTCTCTCTGTATTTAACCTTGTGATGCTGTATCTTTAATAGGCTGATGCCATCCAAGCCAGATGGCTGTGAAGTGTTACAGAAATGTTATTAGGTCTGACCCAGAGAGATTGTCTGATTCCCATTGTGTCTTTTACGTGACTTTTAAGTAACTCTGGCGCTAATTCAGACATGAGACCAGCAAGTAACACGCACACACACACACACACACACACACACACACACACACACACACAGTCTGATATGTTACCCATGCACAAATTGCAGCCGGAGGCCTTGAGCTGGTCCTCTCTGTCTCTTCAGAGATCCAACCTGCTGTTTCTTCTCTCTGCTCTGCTGTTGCAACTGAGGCAGGTCCTCCTTATACACCTTCACAAACACACACAGAAGAAACTTTAATTTCTCACACCTACAAAAAAAGGCTGTTTCATAATATAACAACTAAAAGTCAACATTAAAGTGTGAAAAACAACATACTGATAATTTTTTTTTTTTTTTAGAGTGGTGTGAGCGAAAAATGTAATAGGATGTGAAAGAAAGATGGTGAAAACAACACGAAAGTCACAGGCTGCAGCTGCAGCTGCAGCAGTGACTGTGAGCTCACAGAGGTGAGTCAAACGCCTGGTTTCAGCAACTGGCGTCAAAAATCACACTGCTTCTTGGAGTCGGAACTCACTCAAATCAAGTTTTTAGATTCAGTGTGACTTTTCGAGGATATTACCATCCCTGACGTCCATGGTGAATCAATGTACATAAATCTGCTTAGAGATCATAGAAAAAAGGACAATATAACTGAGATAAGCCTGAGAATCATCACATTTTCAAGTTTTCATCAGTATAAAAGTAATCCAGTGACAGTTGTCTGTACATCCATGGGTACACTGCAAACAGGAGATACTAATAGCTAATTCAGCATACTTTTAAATGATTCTAAAATGTAAACAAATATAAGCTTTAAAAACAGGGATCCAATGTAGCCCAGAGCTAACTTACTGAATTCATGGAATTGCAGCTCTAAAACTCAGGGCCTGATTATCCCCCCAGATAGAACCAACTTGAAGAGCAAATGAAAAAATGGATATAGTTATTTTTCAAGTTGCACTATCAATAATGTTTGACATAACAAAGCCTCAGAATGTCTCACTGACAGAAATTCTACTGCAACTGTAAAACGTCTAACACAGGCAGCGACTGTCTTTGGGTTCGCTGATCATCATCATTCTTAAATTCTGTATATCAGGAAAATTAAATTATAAATCATCTCCTGAAAACCTTTGAGCACAACACAATCATCGATACATTATCTCAGCATAACGAGTTGACATATACTGTCCTCTGCCTTCCTTCATTGGTTAGAGAGAATGATGCACTCTGCAGTGTTTCTGCCCTCAGCACAGAATAGGCCCGCTCATTTTCCATGCAAATTATTCTGTTGAGGGTGAGTTGGCGTGTTTCAGCCGTCTGAGAGTTTCACAGGGAGAGACTTTGCTCCCAGGAGGTTTGGGACTGGCAGCGCTCCACTTTCACGCTGCTTTCCATCTACAAAACTGCATATTTTTGGAGCGTCATGGTGGATCAGTGCAGCGAGTTACAGACCATTTCAATGTGACTGGAATCTAGACTCCCTGTTTTCTCCCCAACATTTTCTTTATCAAAATATAGTTCACATCTTCTTCATCCTCCTGGGTGGTTTTGAGCTTTAACCATTAACCTTCCTGTTTATCTTACTTTTATAATAACCTATAAGTAAAATAATGAAAATATAGCATAAAAACACACATTTCCATATTCCATAAGTGCTAGAAAGTGGGTGTAATCTCAGTATTTATTACAAGAGGCATTCATTTACAACTGCAAAAAGAGTCTACAGCCCTGCTCTGTCATTCTGTATGGAGCACTGAGCTAAATGCACATCAGCATGCTAATTTACTCACAATGACTATACTAATATGTTGATGTTTAGAAAGAATAATGTTTATCATGCCTATCACCTTCATGATAACATTTGTACAACTGAGGCTAATAAGAATGTCATTTTGAGATATTTCAGTGAAAAATACTTTGACTGGTAGAGGCATTCGATGAAAAGTCAAAATGAGAATGCCCGAATATTGGACTTGTTGCAGTAATAATGTTAGACAGTTAACAAGTTAATATAGTTTATTTATGTGTGTAGCTGTCATAATAGTGTCAAGCTAATGTTGACTCTCAATCAGGATTGTTAAAGACTAAACGTAACGCAATAGAACGGCATCTGACTGTGGTAATCACAGTGGTGGAATGTAACTACTGTAGTTTTTCTGCTACTTTATATTTCTACTCCACTCCATTTCAGAGGCAAATAATGCACAAAGGCAAAAATATTGGGAAAGGCAAAAAAGGAAGGAAAAAGGCAGGAAGGATAAGGGAATACAGTAATAATAATAATCCATGTTTTCCTGCTCTTTCCAATTAAACTTTGGAGCTTCTGATAAATCTAAACACACTTGGAGTCTTTCTCTTTGTCTGTCATACACACACACACACACACACTCTTTAAGCTCTATCTACAAACAGCACATTGTTGCAGCACTGGCGGCGCCCAACGAACAGTAGTTACACAGACGTCTGCCAGGCAGCTTCTGGCATTAGAGATAAGGCGTGTTTTAAGATCACCATGGTAACCACACTGAGCCCTGCTGCGCTGTGGATGATGGGAATATGAATGAGGAGCTGATGTAGTGGAGCCTCCATTAAAACACACTCAGCAGTAAAAACATTCATACATGTCCAAAGCTGCTCTGTAATACCACTTTTGAGCATTTTGCTTATGGACTATGGATCACCATAGAAATAACTAGTCCAAACTCCAGGTCGTACCTGTCTGTCATAATTGATCTGTGTCTCCTGCTCAATGTCGGAGTCAAGCTCCGGGACATCCGACACGTCGCTGTCCGACTCCTCACTGTTGGAGTCTCCGTGGCTGTCTACAAAGGAGAGACGAGAAAGAGAGATAAACATGTTCTTTTTAACTCAATTATCTACAACTACAAATTTGGTAAATGGAGAAAATAAAGACAAAAGTGAACCTTCAAATGTTCATTACAAACATTTATTACACTGCAGAGCTACTTATTAGTTCAAGTAAGACCACTTAGGTATCCCTTCATGGGACTCAAGATATTCAAGAAAATTTGAACCATCTTCAGGACCTTAGTAACTCTTATGTGAATCTCTGAAGCCTCAAAGCAGAAACAACTTACCAGTTCCTTTCCAGAGACCCCCTAAAGCACACCAAGAACTTCAAACTCTCTTGAAGTCTGCTGATTCAAAATAACCTAAAGCCTGCTAAAGAAAACCTGGAACCATTCAAAAGAACCTGTCTAGGACCTGCACCACATAAAGGATCTCTTAGGAAAAACTGAAACCTACTCTCACGGAGACCTCTAAAGCCCACTCAAGAAAACCTACTGGACCCTTGTCATTAAGTCTACAGCCTTCGCAAAAAAAACAAACATGAGACACTAACAAGACCATGGAACTTGCACAACGACCCCTATAGTCACGTAATTTCGGAACTACTTCCCACACACTTGGAACTTCTACTAAGATTCCTAAAGCTGCTCAAGAAAACCTGGAACTAATACAGGACACTCGAAACCTATCCAAGAAACTTACACTTGGAACACTCATTAGGTCTCCTCAAGTCTATTCAAGACAACCTGGCGCCACCCTTGGCACGGTCGATGTGACCTCTAAAGCTTTTTGCAGAAAACCTGAAATCCTTGACGAGACCCTTCAAACTTTCAGGATCTATTATGCCTCAATGAAAAACATTGGAACTCTCATAACCCCTCCTAAAACTCCCTCAAGCCCAGTTTGACCACAGGAGCTCACAAAAGGACCTCAGAAAACCTGCTCAAGGACCTCTGAACCCCCCTCAAGAAAACCTGTAACTAGGAAAGCATTGTCTACTCTGTTGTAATGTACCCCTACTTGGTTCGTCATCCTCTAATCTGCTTCACTCAACGCTACCCTGTTTCCCTACCTTGTATGTTGATATCCAGTCCTCCATTCATGACTGACTCTGGTAGAAACCTCCACTGGAAGAGGGCGTGGTCAGCCCCACCCGTGGTCAGCACCCACTGCAGGTCATGTGACCAGCGGACATTAGTCACATGGGCTGAGTGACCAATGTACTTCTTGAATTTGGCTCCTTGGAGAGAATAGACAACTCACATTTAACAACAAAACAGGGAGAAGAAAGTTCAAAAGACAAAGAAGGAAAGAAAGCTAGAGACCTTTCCTCAGACAGGGGAAGCGGTACAGCTTAACAAGGCCGAGGTCGTCTCCGGTAACAAGCACAGCAGCAGCGTGATTGGCATCCACGGCGTTGATCTCTGTTAGATTAGAGTATTTAGGCCAGATGCCACTGACTTCTGAGCCCAGAACGCCACTCCAGGATGCCCAGCACTGACCTTTCACCTCCTCTTTACTGACAATTGGTTTCCCCACTGCAGGAGGATGAAAACAGCGTGTGAATGTTAAATCTGAAATAATAAAATACCTTTTTAATTCCTGCGGAGTTTTATGTATTAGCGTGCACCAGTTTATCTTAATGTAGATGCTAATGATAACAAACAGCCTATTTGCAATTTTTTTTATCAGTAATCACTTGCAACAGACAAAAGCGGGAAAGGGAAATGTGGGTATGGTGCAGATTTTAATCTTCCACGCTGAAATCTGTTCTGGGTCAAGCTGCAGAGCTGGTTTCTCCTGGTGGAAGTTTTGTGTGGGAAATCTTGTGAACAGCCTGTTACATTGGCAAGTTGGCAACACATCATATGTGTTTTCGGTTTGCTTTGACATCTAAATGAATGTTTAGTGGTATGATCCAGCCTTTCCTTTCTTTCCTCCTTACTTCCTTCCTTCTTTCTTTTATCCGTCATTCACTCCAGGATGGTTTTTTTCCCTGTTTCTGTCCTGAAAGTTAAAATCCTCATCAGACCACATTTTTTATGCTATTAATGGTCAGACTTTTTTTCTGCTACAGCCGTTCAATTCATTGACATTCTTTAATTATTTCTCTACAAGGTAGTCTTCATTGTTAGTGGCGGAGTTCGCCATTCCAAACTGCCAACACATGGACAAGGGATTCACAGGAAACAATGCTGCATGGAATCCAGTGTAATTTTATCTCATTGATATCCACTCCACTGTTTACTTTTCACTCTCCCACTTACTGCTATTGCTAACCCAACATTTCCTACTGCTGCTGCTTAAAAGCGTTCAAGTGGCAGAACAAAGTGATGGATTTTATTGTGCACAGCCACAGGAAATACAATGGTCATTTTAGTCATTATTTGTCTGTGGATGAGCTGTAAATCTGTCAGAGAGTAATGGAAGAGTCAACAGCAGCCACAGAGAGCTGTTAGATAAAGAGCTGCAGGCGACGGGCTCCTCAGCAACACAACCAACTCCTTTTACTGTATCCTGCTGTTGTGTGGAAAACTACTGGCTGTGTGTGCAGTGTGAAATCAGATGGAGGTTGTTCATTTCATGATGGAAAAAGGACAATTATTGAATGACTTCTTTATAAAAGCTGCTCAAGGTGTGTTTGCTGACCTCGGATTCAAATAATGTAGTATTTAACAGCTTTTGCTGTCACCATGGTAACCACAAGTATCAACTACGACTGCAAAGCATTTTAACTTTAAAAACATTTCTATCTCTTCATCTTAAATTATCACAGTCAGCCTCCTCCCTCACTGTGTCAGTCGTGTGTGTCCTTTCTCTGACAGGTACACTGGAGAAGTTCAGCTTATGAATACATGCATGAATCTGACTGTGTGTATGTGCGTGTGTGTGTGTGTTTGTGTGCACTTATCTAGCAGTGTATTTCAGCATCGTTACATACTCTCCAACTGGAGAGAAAGTAAGACCATTTTCTCAAAAAAAAGACTAACTCTATTTATAAGTATGAAAACTTTTTTGTTTTTTTCTAATTTGGGTGAGCTGATCCGTTTATAAAACAATGTGTATCCTTGCCCTATAATACAGAAATACAGGCTCTTTTTTCTACAACATTTTGAGGAACCTAAGGCTGAAGGCATGACTGTAGAGACTCACTGGGCATTCGGTAGAAGATTCGTTCTCCAGCTCCGTCGTTGGTCTGCAGGATTTTGCTGTCCAGAGACCAGTCCAGGTGTGTGATGAAACTGGTGGATTTACAGCACTCTCCTATCTGCAGGCAGACAGACAGAGGGAATTATAATGTTATGGCATTATGTTAGTACTTTTGGTGGACTTTTGTTTTTGTACTTTTCGTTGTACCTTGTGGTTCATTCATACAAAATTTTCAACACATCCTCATACCTAAATGACTGAATAGGTTAATGGGCAATGACTCTCAATACGGCGTATAAGACTGTTTCGAAAACGTCATAAATGGCAGTTGGAGAGTACCAGCAACAGTGGTACTGGACCTTCATCGTCACCTAGCTAACATTGTGAAATGGTCGCAGTGTGGTTAGGTGTAGGCACTAAAACTACTTGATTAGAATTATCCACCACCATGATTGACCCATCCATCAAATCTCCTCCCTAAGCGGACTTTGTCGCTCTTTATACATTGTCACCTGACTTCCTCCTTTGCTCATGTCAATCACTTTGGCCCCTAGAGGTCGCTGCCAAACAATACGCACATATGGGTGGTAATAAGCTGCTTTCACAAACAACCTATTCAGCTGTTTTTCTGGTAATTGTCTGCCCTGCCCCTGATTGTTTTCACCTGTTTTCACTTACACCTGGCATAAATAGTCCTAGTCTCCCTTTGTCTTTGTCAGTTCGTCTTGTTCAGTTGGTAGAAAGAGTATCATCAAGTGTTCCAGCCAAGTGTTCAGGTTGTTTTATGTTTCAATTGAAGTTTGTGTTGATTTGTTGATCCTCCTTGAGAGCGCCTTTTGTTTGAATTTTATTTTGGATAAATATAATTTTTAGCTACATCTTTGTCTGTCCCAGAGTCATGCATTTGAGTCCACCAGTATTGTGTCAGAGGTTGTGACATAAGGACGAACTGGAATTTCCTCCAGGGATAAATAAAGTTTAAAAAAAGGAGGTTTTTGTAAAATGTATTTTTGGGGCCTTTTCTAATGTGTTTAAGTTAGCTATGGTTTTAAAATGTGCATGTTCTCTAACCCTCCGATGTGCCTCCCTACCTTCTTGTATCTCTGAGCAACAGCGTAGATGTCCACAAGACCGTCATTGGAGCCAACAGCGAGGTATGCTCCGTCTGGAGAAAACTTCATCTCATGGATCACCTCCTTCCTGTCTTTGATGTGAACGACCTCTGTCATGTCTCTGATACGGACAAATAAAAAAAATACCCTGTTCATGCCATATTACAACAAAGAAATATTAGGTTTTAATTAAGTTTGTTTGTCCTGATACACTGTCGAATTTTGTGTTACCTGACTCTCAGTACAGTAAAGGATCCATCTTTCATGCCCAGAGCCAGCTGGTATCCGTCCACACTGAACGCCACGCTCCGCACTGCCTCCTCCATGTTACAGCGAGCAATGAGTGCGTGATCCACTAGACTCCATAACCTGACACGCACGCACACAAAGTCAGATAAAAGTCACATGAATTCCAATATGTTCAATCAGACCTGTATCTGATTGGGCCACATACGAAAGTCAGCCAAATCAGAATTGAAAAGATCAGATTCCATGTGACTTGTGCTGTTCACACTGTCATAAAAAAACTGATCTGAAAAAACTTTGCCTGCAGTGTGAACACAGCCTTAGCCTGCTAGAATAAATCCTTGTTACATTCCACTGCTGCAGGTAATGAGCCTCGTCGCCTCAGTGGCTTTCAGCAGCTTTGTGAAAAAATCTAAGGAGGAAACTTTGCTGGAATTTTAAACACCATTTAGGAGGACTCCTAGTTTAAAATAAGATCCTTAGTGAATACAGACCCAGAACTGTTGTTTCAATTTTCACTGTTGACAAATGTATTCACTGTAGGCAGTACAGCACAGCTCTTCACAAGAAAGAAATATTTAGTCTCAGGAACTCTCCCCCAAAGCGGGTGAAGTGCAGTTAATTCTAGTCAAATCTGCCATGATTGTCACTGTGAACAACAGCCGTAAATATAGACGGTACAGGCAGCGTGGCCCTTGTGAGTGATTCAATTGCAACCTTGGAAATATGCCTGTGTTCAAAGAACAACTGATGTTAAATTAGAAACAGTGCTATATTTGCCTCGAATCTCCGTCATGGTTTGGTAGGGTGTATAAAAGACAAAGCTGGTGTCTGAGTGTATGTGTGTGTGTAGGCTTGTTGTAACCAGCTCACACCACTGCTGTACACTGCATATAAGCCTTCTCAGAATGCAAAACTTGACTGACATAGCATTATGTAAGAAAAGTAAAATAAGAAAATCAACAAACTTAAGAAGCTGCATGAATCAGCAGGCGGCAACAAACATGTCAGCATCTTTCTCTTTACTACTGCTGTTTCCATTATCACCTGTGTGCAGCTGACTGTGTGTGTTTATATCATTATATAATGTATAATTGGTCTCTCAGGACTTTCCTGCAGTACTGAAAAGAAAACAGTGAGCAAATGCTGGGGATGAACAGAAACCATTACCGCATTAGAAATCTGTCACAAAGAGCTCATGAGCAAGGCACTAAACCTGTGATCCACCTGTAGCAGCCTGTGGTTGTACTGGGCTCCCAGGATGCGTGTCCTCGCACTGACCTGACGGAGCGGTCGTCGCTGCCGGTGACAGCCAGAGGTTTTTTAGGGTGAACGTCCAGCGCCCAGAGCTCGCCCTCGCTGTGTCCCTGCATGATCAGCAGTGGCTTGTCTCGATCCCTCACCATCACCTGGACAGACACCAACAGACACATTTAAAACTGAGCCCAAACTCGATAGTTAACATTTTATGGCAGCATCATTTAAAAATCTGAAAGCAGACTGAAACATAAAAAATGCATCTCACAGTAAGCACATATTTGATGTTTGTTGGTCAAAACATGTGAAATCCAGGTTCAATTAGATGTCTAGGCTCAATGTGTAACAAGATTGACAGTATATATAAAGGACAGAGTTTCTGGGTCTGAAAAGCGAGTATTCTTTTAATGGCCAGCTGGGGGAGCTCAATTGGCCGTTCTCAATGAGTCCTTCCAGCTCAACACACCAAACTCAGATTAAACTGTCAAATCAGGCAGTGCTGATCAAATTTGAATCCAGATTCTGCTCCTGCATCGCCCATTTCTTTGCCCATATTTTTAGAAACATATTTATATGTTTCATCAAAATGCATTATACAGTTGCCCAGTGTAAAAAAGATGTATCACGCAAACTGCAACGTGGTAAAAACAGAATTTACAAATGAAAAAAGATAGGCCAACAATTTTAACACTGCTTCCTTTTGAAAACAAAATATTTTAAAATAGTAAACACTATATAAACACTAAATGTTGACATAAAAGTATGCATACAATTATGGCAGCATATGAAAAATGTTCATGTTAATTCTATTTATACCAAACTCGAGGATTTATCTCATGTCTGCATGTTAAATACAGATTAACAACAAGATTAGCCTAGCTTAGCATAACGACTGGAAGTAGGGGGAAACAGCTCTGTCAATTTAAAACTACCAACACATCTTAAGCTCACTGATTAGCATGTTGTATCTCTTTTTTGGTGAATATGTACACAAACCGAAATGCAGAAACAACTATTTGTGGTTTTAGGAGTTATGATTCTAGTTTTATATTTGTTTTATATAAGTTTTAAAACATATTCCTTCAATGCTACTTTTATATACTTTGTTATATTTTATTGTTTCATTCTTCATGTGTAACCCCGTATTGTACAATGACAATAAAACCAACTTTTTCTTTTCTTACGCTTAGTAACAAAACTTAAGGAAGCTTTATTCAGTCACTGCACAGCTGTTTTACGTAAAAAATCTTCATATATGGGCTTTGAAGTAACAGGGTAACTTACAACCTTGCATCAGTGCTTATAGTGAGGTAAACTGTGTGTGTGCCAATGAGGAGCCAGCAAAATAAATCTCTTTCAACAAACGTCTTTGCAGGGAGGAACTGCATTAGGCTGGGTTTCTATTTTCTATCATGAGTCTCCTTTCTTACCTCAAAGATCTCGCTGTCCTGCGTTCCCGCCAGGATCCGGTCGGCTCGCCAGCAGACGCTGCGAATAGACAGACCTGGAGGAGGAAGAGGAGGAGGAAGAGGATTAGATCAGCAGTAAAAACCTGTCAAAATATCTGGAGAAACAACAAAGGAGCTGCTTTAAAAACCAACAGTAATAAACAGGCTTTAAGAGGAAAAGGCAGGAATGAAAAGGAAGAGAAGAGAAAGGAAGACGAGATAGGAGAGGAGGAGAAAAGGAGAAGGGAGAAGAAGAAATATAAAAACAAGGTGTGCTGGAGGAAAAGAGGTACACAAGAGGAAAGGAAATGCTAGGATGAAATGGTGGATTGTTGAGATCAAATGTAGCTGAAACGGGTAAGTCAAGAAAAAAACGAAAACAGCAGGAAACCAGAGAAGTCTGATCGATGATTATTGATGGGGAGGTGTTTCTGATTCGACCGCCGGCTCTCATTAACTTCAGTTAATGAGCAGCAAACTTCACTGTGGTTCATTAAACGGAGATTCACACTTAAAGCCAGCCTGAGTTCATCAAATCAAGAATATCTTCACACGTTAGAGACAAAAATTCCCTCTTTTTTATTTCCTCTGTGTTTTTGCTGAGCTTCAGAGGAAGGATCCAACACAAAGAGGACATTTCTTAATAAAAAACACCTGGAAGATATTCACTTTATTCATCTGAGAGAGCTGGAGCCTCATATTAGCTTCAGATAAAGTATGTGGATCAGAGGTGGAAGAATTTCTAGAAAGATTTTTTAGTTGATAAGTAGCTATTCTACTGTGTAAAAGTAAAAATCCCCAAATCTTACTTGAATGTACTACAAGGAGTTTTTAACTGGTTATGCCTCTACACTGGACCGTTAAAGAGTAAGTAAACCCCAAAACAATTTTTTTTCTGCAGAAATCCTGTGTATATGGGAGTTAAGTAGTGTTGTTGATTGATTCAGGTCCAAATATTGACATTTTAGTGCAAAGTATTTGAATTCTACATACAGCACTGTGCTATAAAAATGCATAGCAATGCCCTCTACTGGTTGAAATTTCTATTAAATTTCATATCGCTGGCTGATCTGGCGACAGGTGACGTATGTGGTGGCAGCTTTTGTCACTAACCAACCCTGCTCCTGTAAAACCAACATCTCAACTCTGCTGACTGTGGCCTGCGTTGCCATACTGATATTCCCCATAGACACTGGAGAATTTGTCTCTTTGTGTTACTAGCTTAACTAAAGTTACAACACACAAAGAAACCTTTACAAATGGCCATGAATGTGCTTCTAGCGACTGTCAAAGCTCCAGCGGATCCTTTGTTTTTAGGGATTTAGGACAGATTATGAACTTATTACACAATCATGGCTGCAGCAAAATATGACAAATGTATCATTACATCTTCTGGAGATTTCAGAAGTAACAGACTGCCTCAAAAAAAGATTTAAACTTTTTTCACACAGGAAGAAGTTACACACACACTTTTCTTTTCTTCCAACCTCACCGTCACACTCCTGTTCCCCAGCATCTAAAATTTAATTAGCAAAGCTGTTCAGCAGCACAGCACTCGCCAATTAGAGCGTCTGCTGCCGCTGATGGCATGAATCAGCGTGTGATGTTTCCTGTAACTTTGTTAGAAACTCCTCCCTGGAGGTTCACAAGCCAAAGCAACCTAATACAGGAAGAGTTTATGAGGTAAATTGGAAATAACTGGGAAAGACTTTCTGCACTGTAAGAGTGGTGTACAGAAGGAAGAGTTTCTGATATGTCATCTCAGAAGTGATTATAGCAGCCAGAAGGCAGCAAAGAGGAAAACTTCACCTTAACAAATCATTTGGAAACGGTCCCGAGGAAGGAAATGGACTACAAAGATGTGATCTGATGTCTTGCTCTCATTTCATTTTGAAGTTTTTCTCTTGACTTCACTCCTGAGAAACAACACCGTGATTTATGCATGTTTAGTTTACTATGCTCCTCATTAAGCTTTGTGTTGCACGACAGGTCAATAAGGAGAAACATGCAAGCAGTGTGAGACTGGAGCCATGGACAAACGACATTATATCTGGCAGACACTTAAAATAACAATTTGCGTACGTCAATGTACACAAATGCCCTTATGAAAACCGACCACTGACTGATGAGCAGTAATTGATGAGTTGTGTAAAGATGACAGAGGAGCCAGGGTTTGAGCTGAAATCATGTTTTTTATTCTTTAGAACTATTTCTGTCCCTTTTTATGTGAACAACTCAGGGAAATACCACAAATGTCTTCCAGTCTGAAAATGTTCACTGTTATATCTATTTTTCATATATTGTATCTCCATGGCGGTCAGGTTTTCCCCTCCCCTTTAAGTGTGGTCATTGGAATCAACTACAAACACTTTTGATTTTGGTCAGACAACGTGTAATAAGAACTTTTTTCAAGTTCTTTGGAGCACAACCTGGTCCTTACCTTCTCACACGGAGCTTGTTTCCATCTCCTAACCCTACAAGGGAGGAGGTGTAAAGAAGAGTCTACTCTACAGTCATGCTAGCAGTTCTGTGTTTTGAGTTAAAGGGGAACTTCTGGGCTTTCGGTGAAGCGAGCGATGGAAAAACAGGTAGGTGACAGTACTTGTAAACTTTGAATTTAAACGGTTTCTGCACAATATAGCTATGAGTTGAAAACGCATGTTGTTGTCACGTAAGGGCCCTGATCATGTTGCACAGACATTTTAATTGCATTTTGTGTGTTAAGAGGAGCAAAAGGCCCTCTTTAGGATATGCCCCCAAGAAGTGTATTATAACTAACTGGGAGCTCTGGCCATTAGCTGCAGGAACTCCAGTTTGCTAGCACCGGCTTTGGTCGTTGTTTTTCCTATCGTCAGTACTCGGTGACATCTAGCGATCAAGACTCAGGTAAAAATCTGCCGAAGTTCCCCTTTAAATGCTAACATGACACACTTCATGACAATAGCTTTTAAGGCATTTAACATAAAAACCGTGAATTTCATGATGGCACCAGGGCAGCCTCCACGGAATAGTCTGTAGATAAAAACGTCTCATTCTAAGGTAACAAAACATAACGATTCCTATAGTCAGGTGATTATCCACTTATGAGAACATTATTATCCTATGGACATATTAAATTTTTGTCTAAAGACCGTCCTAAATGTTACACACCGGACCTTTACCCCTTTGGCTTGTCATGCATAAACCATTTGGTGATACCAAGCTGAATTTCATGGTAATTCATCCTACAGTTGTTACAAGTTAAGTTCAAGTTATTACAGTCTGGACTGAAGTGGTGGACCAACAGACCAGCAGACACGGCTGATAATGGGACAAACCTTCACACCTTCTGTCTTATTCTCACCTTCACAATGGAAATACCTGAAAACCTTTCCTGTGCTCAACCCTTGTTAAAGAGGAAGCCATCTCCTGCTGAGGAGTAACATTTACCTCCTGCCCTCCCAACTTCCTCTATAGCCCTTTGAGAGGTGAAGGGGTCAACCTTTCACCTCCTCCAACTCCACAAAAATTAGGCCATTTCCAACTCTGACTGGGAACCGAGACAACAAAACCATTACCTCCTTCCTTTCCTCCTTTCTTTTCTAACTTTCAGAGATCTTCAGAGAGGAGACATGAAAAGGAGGCTAGGGGCTTAATGGCTCTCCCCCACAGCTTTTTCTAAAGGAATACGTCTCTACCTCCTGCTGCTGAATGGCATTTAGCAGTAAAAAGGGGAGAGGTTCAAATATTCAGCACCCTCTGGGTTTTCCCAAAATCAGGTCAGTTCGTTTCTTCTGCTGAAGAGAGAAGAAGATAAACTTTTACACCTCTGCTCTCCTAGTTACTGAAAACTTCTCCTCAAACACTGTCAGGGATGAGAAAGACAGAAAATCAGGTCAATCCTATCTCCAACTAGAGACAGAGGATGACAATTTGACTGTTCAAATATGTTCAGAGGGAAAAGAGAGAGACTAAAATGGAGGTGAATGATTCAAGCGGATTTCAAAAGGAGGACTGAACTCAGACGAGACTGCAGCGTCACAACCTTCAACTGACAAAAGAGTCTTCGATTTCAAAATGACCTTCTCTTCTCATTTTCTTCTGGTTTCCAAGAGACGGAGGGAAAGTGATGTGCAGAGTTTGCCTTTAGATAAGAGATATAATGATATTTAAACTCAGCGAGTTAAATTAAGTTTGAAGAAAAGGTTTAAATATCTCGTCCAGGGCATGTTTGTGAACATAGAGACGGAAAGGCCAGAGCTCCTCATTAACAGAGAGGTCCCTACAGGTATAAAGGTCTCACACACAAACAGTAGATGGTTAGTCAAGTCCAGGTCCTTTGTCTAACACACCTTATTGTCTCCACCCTCTTTCAGATGGCGACATCATACTTAACTCAATCTCCATCTGGTATTAAACGGTTAGTAATGGTACGCGTCCATGGGGGTGTTTTTGGACACGAGGGGTCCCAGCCGGTTCCCAGCATTAGATGCTTGTCATCGCAAAGGGTCCGCCCTACAGCCTATAACTGTGCAAACACTTCTGGCAGCAAACGTCTTATTAAAACAGACAAATCCCACAATAACACAAACTGACAGATTGAGGCATTAGTGGACCAGCAACTCCCATGTACAGTGGGGTAAAAGTACCGTTTTTGTCAAATGAGTCTGTGACTTTGAAGAGAGCACAGGTCGATATAAATGTTTCAGTTCCCTGACAGAAAGGGTTGTCTGACAGCAACACTGCTTAATTTTGTCTGTAGATGTAGATTAACAGATCTATTGAGTAGTGAGATATTTTTGGTGCATAAACCTTACCAAACATAACCACAGTGGTATAATATCAGAAAACAGTTGTTGAATCTAAACTAATAAGCAGTTGAAATGTAACAAATACTCTGTAAATGGAACCAAGTTTTTAGGAGGGCCTTTTTTTAGGTGGCTATAATCCTGATGCCTCATTCCACAGCAGTACATTACTTAGCTTCTGTGCTGGTCCTCCTGTCTGCTTCTCCAAACTGGGGGCGTGCCGACCTCTGTCTACTAATACACTGACTTTGGATAAGTACCTCAGACAACCCCACTTCAATAAATCTGAATCAGCTCTTTAACCTGCAAATAAAATCGGATATTGAAATTGGTCTTTGTCGCTTCCAGAAGTCTAAAATGAATTAGAAACGTGGCCTGAACTTCTGCATCCATCATATTAATGCGATTAGTAAATTTTTATTTATTTTAATTGATGAAGGCTGGATTCTCATCTAACCACAAATCACAAAAAGTTCAATAAAATAAAATAGATTAGTTTAGTTTTACTACCTTGGATTGATGTTGAAAGTTGCCTCCACTCCACAATGTTTTTTATTTTTCCCGTCACGTCACTGTGATGTGTTTGAGTGTCACTCAGCAGAGTTTGGAGACAGCTGAGGACATTCAAGGATACTTCTAATTATGCTAACGTTCCTGCTGTCAGAAGCTCTAGTCCTAGCTTGGCCAACCCTCACATGACCCTCGAATCTCCTGAAGATGTGTTTAGTCCAAACTGTATAAATGTAATTCTCTGTCTTGCTGATATTTTGACTGTAGGGTTAGGGTGTGTTTCGTACCTTTGTATCCCTGCTCGGCCTCTCGCAGGTCGATCTTGGTGATCGGTTTGAAGTCGACGTCCCACAGTCGGACGCAACCATCTCGGCCTCCTGTGGCAAAACCTTCCTCGCAGGCATACATACTGAAGATACCAGCCTGCGCACACACACACACACACACACACACACACACACACACACACACACACACACACATTCACACAGCTATCATACACAATCAAGGTTTCCACTATGTATGTCTTTCATGGATGGTACCCACTAGTGATGCTCGGATCATTTCTGAGTTCATTTGAATCCACATGCTTTACTCCACTGCTGCACTGACCGATCCTGTCGGCATGTTGCTAGATTTAATCAATTAAGTTATGCTGCTGTGCCTTGTGTGTAAATGTGTAAAGCATCTCTCTTAATAAGTGAGCTTCTCCTATTGAACCAACCCGTACCCCAGAATTTTTAAAACATCTGGAACATCTTCTGCTATTAAAGTGACATCTTAAACATTTATGTTGCCGTAAATGTATAGACTTTTTGGAGTATTTTGTGGTCAGCCAGTTAAAGCTGAAACGATGAAATGATTAATCAATTAGTCAGTCATTAGAAAATTAATCAGCCACTATTTTCATTTCATTTTCAACAGTTAATTATTTAATGGTCTAGTGTGTAACATTTAGGAGGCTCTATATTACTATTAGTGTAACTTAAAATAAGAATCAGGTTGCCTTCAATGGAGTCTGCCCTGTTTCTATATTGTCACATAACACTGGCTGTGGATACGGGTGTTTTTCACATGTTACGCCATCTTACACACTGGACCTTTGACTAATTTTTAAGACCAAACAATCTTTTTATTGATTTTTCTCAATTTTGAGGATTTGCTGATTCTATCTTGACCTATGAAATAATAATAACAATAATCAACAATTTTGAGTTTTGGACTGTTGATTGGACAAAAAAAATAATCAATCAATTAAATAATCGATTATTTGGAAAAATAATCAGCTGAATAATAATGAAAATAATGGTTAATTGCAGCCCTACAGTCAGTAATACAACTTTGAGAACTTAAATGGAGGTAGAAGGTATCAGTCAGCAGGTATGAGACTCACCCCGTGGGCAGCCTGAACTGTTCGTATCAAGTTGAGTCCCTTCCAGACATAAATGTCCCCGTTGAGTGCCCCGGAGTATGTGATGTCATCTTTAGCCGATGCGACACACAGGATGGTCTGCAAGTCGCCCGTCTTCCCAAAAATGCCCCTCTTTGGAGTGAGAGCGTTACCACACAGAGACCAGAACTACAGAGAGGGAGAGAGGGGACACACATTAAAAACCCTTTCTGGCATCATCTATCTGTTAAAGACATCCAGACAGAGGAGACTTTTATGTTGATGGTCTTTAAAGCTTGGTGTTGGTGCTCAAGAGGGGAGAGAGGGGAGTAGTCAGTTAAGAACGTGTTTCTTGCTCTCTCTCAGGCTGTACCACTGATGTTCAGCTTTAATTAATGCTTGCTTCTCACAGTGAATCCACTGACAATTTCACATCAATTTCATCATTTAACATTATTGGAGAGAATTCTGCTGCCTTTTTTATAATATATGACAGTGCACAAGCACTGAATAAGAGGACCTTAAGTTGTTTTAAAGTTTTTGTTGAATATTCAGTTATTTATTCATGCAGTTGGCATGAATAAAAATTGAAAATACAGGCAGATTATAGGTATGATTGTTACTGTTCTTGTTACTGTTTAAGGGATTTTACCTCTGTGGTAGAGGAGAGCCGGTACAAAAGGCAAGTTTCTCAGAGCCAATTGAAGTGTGTGTCTTAAACATGCATTTTATGTAATGGCCAGCAGAGAAGCTCTGTTGGCTGTTTTAGTGGGGTTATTTGAAGACAGCAGCGTAAGTATAAATGCTCACAGCGGCACAGGTCACGTACAACTATAAATCAGCCTTGAGACCTAATCATCTGTCAGATAGCCAAGTCAAAAAGACACAAAAAAGTCTGAAAAATGCATTCTGCTTTAATGGAAGTGTTCATGTTGTTAGCTCAGTAGTACATTTCTTCTCTGTTTGATGACTCGATCTTGACTATTGGATCTGTGAGGATCACCGTCCTTAGTGTTTCTATTGTGTATTACCTTGATGTGTTTGACTCCACAGCTCACCAGACGGTTTTGTTGAAACGGATCCCAGCAGATATCGAAGATCTGGAGGGAAAAAGAGACGTTAACACACACATACAGTCTATGTAACACACACAAGCACACACACACTCTCTCACCCTGTCTGAGTGTCCGGTGGCTGTAGCCAGGATCTTCCCTCTCTTCCACTCCCAGATACACACTGTGTTCTTGGCATCCAGGCCGACCGAGGCTAACCGCTACAGAGGAGGGAGAGAGAGAGTTAGTGATCTAAATGAAAAGTCATAGAAAGCATGAGGAGAAAAAAGCTGTTTTCTGCATTAGGACGCAAATATTGTGATTTTTTGGGGATTCCTTTGGGAGAACAATATAACATTGTAGAAATTCACTGTATGTTTTCTCTGTAAAACCGTAATCTAAAAAGTAACTAAAGCTGTTGGTGAAGAAAAAGTTTAAATTAAAATTAAAGTACAAGTTAGCATGGCCGTTCTCGGGTTCCATGTTCATTTTTAGATAATTATAAATAAATGTAAATAAATACATGTTTTCTGATGGCATTTTGTTGTACATGATCAAGCATGTTCTGCTGTTCCTTTCCCACATGAAGTCAAAGTCGGACCAAATTTAAAACTTTTTTGATGTTCAGCTCTGAATTTAAACTTGCAGTGCAGCACTTGGTTCACTTCTGTAATGTAAAGCAAATTGTTAAGTAAATTGTCTAATAGATCAATGGCCAAGCAAAAGTGACAAGAAAACACTGAATTTGTGAAAAAAGAAGCCCATTAATTACTCTTTTTACACAAACTTCTTGCAGTTACTAAATTTACTATTTGGGTTCATTGTACAGTTTTGAATATAATATGAAATATCCATTAAATATGTCACCTGAGCAAGGGGCATCAGTTTACTAAATAATAGAAAAGGGGTCCTTTATGGAAGAAGGTTGGGAACCACTGGTATAAAGCGTTCCAGGCTCAGAGGAATATTCAGATTGTGGTCCAACTTAATAATAAATCAGCTGTACCAAACCCTGAGTGCTTGATTTATTATTAAGTTGGATTTATGATAATTTTATTGATTCTGTGTTTAGTCTGATTTACTCAAAGTTGTTAAGTCATCATGACCAAAGTCCCGGCAGAAGCAAAAACTGCTGACACAACAGTATGGATCGTTTACAGAGTCACTTCACTACTCAGTCTGATTCTGCTTCATTCATTTCTAACAGTTGGCCAAAGAAACGCTCTGTGCATTTTATTGCCAGTTTTGAAAGCCTGAGTTTCAAATGTTTTCTACCTCAGCAATGACCCCAACAGTCATTATAAATCTGGTTTAGTGGCTAATGTTTGGAACGTTTCCATAGCAGGTTTAAATGTCTCTGTTGCTCATTTCTAGGGTATGGATAACTTTGAATACATTTTTAGAATTTACTAATTTTTATGACAACAACTGCCAATAGCTGATAAGAGATCAGCTGCAGAGGCAGGAGATCATTCACATGCAGTCCACTCCTCCTCACATTTTATGCTTCCCAGTGAGCCCTAGCCGCATTTCAACATTGATTTCTAGTTGAAAACTGGGTGATATTCTGTCTCAACGTCTAAAACCTCTTTTCAACCAGCTAAAATATCAACGTCTCACAAAAAACCCAAATTTGTTTAATCATTTGGGTCATGTGTCAAAGAATAGACCATTATTTCACTACTTTTATTGTCTGCCCCTTGGAAAGAAAATGGTGACCTCAATGGTGGGTATGGCTATGTCCACCAGATGTGGCAGTACTCAATAAGAAGTAAGGGTACTCATGTGGACAAAAATCAGAAGTGGCAGTAACTTAGTACTTGGTGCCATTTCAGGCACCAATATTGATAATCTGCTGGAGACAGCGTTAAAGTCCAGTGTTTTGTTGAGCCATCCACCCACCTAAACCTCCTTCTTATGTGGACTTTTTTGCTCTATAAAAACATCAACTAACTTTCTCTTTTGTCTTTTGCTCCTTTCATACTATGAACATCAACTTGAACGTTAACAGGTGTTTTTTAGGGGTATATCTGTATCCATTTGTATGTGAATAAGGGCAGCAGGTTTGGAACCAAGTGAACAGCCGGGCTTTGCCTGACAAGAGCTGACAGAGCAACTTACAACAAAGCAGAACTGATATGAAAAGCCAACAGGAACTGTGAGGTAAAAGAAAATTAAGATGTGCGTTTTCCTTTGAGGTTTTCAGAGAGAGAGAGAGAGAATGTGGCTCAAGGAGAGCAGCTGTCAGCCTCCAGACCGCCACTCCAACTGCTCTGACACACTGACACACATGTTCACACACACAGACTTAAAAGCAGAGACATGCTGCTATTCATTGAATGGGACCTGGCCTTGTAGCCCACTGTGATACTTCAGGGGAAAGTTGAGAAAAGCTCCTCTGACACAATGCAAGAGACTACCAGGCAAAGAAGAGAGTTGTTTACTACTCCGCCCCTCAAGAGGAGTAGGGATCACCTCCAGTGCCAGTCAGTGCTGCCAGCTCAGTCGTCGTTGTTATTCGTTGCATTAAAAAACAAAAAGACCATAAAGGAAGTTATTCTGTATTCAGGAAACAAAGTGTGATACAGGAAATGAAAAGCTGCCTCGTGTGTAGAACGGCGTAAACGTCAGAAATCAACTGTCCAGTTGGAGTAGAGTATATAAATGATGTGCTCAGCGCTAGCTTCATGAGACTAATTTGTGAACCTGTTGTGATGTCACCCATTGGTTTATGGAGTACCATTTTCAGACCTCTAGTTTGGTATTATGGTCATCGCCATGACATTTTGTCGAGCCAGCAGAGGAGACATACTGCGAGTTGAGCTGCTCTCATTGGCTGTGCAGTTTTGACTTGTCCATAGATCAGTTTGATCTGAGTTTGGTGCGTTGAGCTGGACAGACTCATCGAGAGTGGCCTGTCACTCATAAGGTAGCCACGCCCAAAAGCATACAATGCTTTGTCGTCTATTTCACTCTAAATTGGACCATAATTTACTAAATGAACATCATAATGTATGCAAGAAGACTTGAAACTAGAGATTGAGACTATAAACTCATCAAGAAACTGTTTACCATGGTCAAATTAGCAATGATAAATATGCAATGTCCAGTTATGCTTTCAAAATAAAGGCAACAAAAAGTATTAAAATCTATTTTAAATGCTCAGCTTTCTGATGTCTGATTATCATTTTTGACAGAAAAGGGAAATAAAACAGTTCGTTTTGGAGGCCTACCTTATTTTGTGTGTAAACACATGTTAATTTTATTCATATATTAATAAGAATTAGCAACAGACAGTTGTGATGTTCATACTCAGTTTATTATTAGAGTAACATGCTCTGATTGCAGGGATGAAAATATGTGTATATTTAATGACACTGTATGTGTGTGAATACATATAGCTGCTCCGTGTATAATTCCAATCTTGTCAGTGTGTGTGTTTATTTGTCGGAGTATGTAGAACTATACAAGGCATTTGAATCTCACGTGTCGCAACTTTAATGACCATGGGAAAAGGTAGGTCCCACGGTAAGACCAGTTAGGAACCATTGCTCTAGTAGATCGGTGTGTCTATTACACGCTCTTTGGCGCGAGACTGGGGTGGTATGTGTGAAGGCAGCATGAGCAGAGACTGTATTTACTCAGTGCCACCCACTCACAGCCAGAGTCGACTTGTTTTATGTACTTCTCTCTGACGACACACTCAGCTGTGTTTAATTCTCACAGGTTGACTGACATGTGGGAGGAACTAAAGAGATGGAGGGACTGATTTCCTGGTGATGAGTGGATTGAACCCTCTACCAGTCTGAGGACATGTGAACTGATGATATTGAATCCGTCACACTGCTGTCAGATATGATACCACATGCCAGAAAACTCACTGTGAGTCAAAGTATGTTTGTTTGATGACGTTTTCAGCAGATGAACTGAGTCACATTGGAGAGTCAGTAGGAGGAAATAATAGAGCCACACACAATATAAATCAACCACAACATCGCGGGTGACTGTGTGATGGAAATATTGGCTCAGTCTGCACACACAGTGATGACTGAAATCAAATCTGTTGCATTTTTAAGACGACAACACGTTTCATGTGAGCTGAAGTAACCGACTAGATTTACTAGAGGGCTTTAAGCGCAAATAAAACTTCAAATTAAAGTTCCATGTGCATATTTTGTGCATATTTATACTAATATTCTACTACATTACAGAGGAAAATGTTGTAGTTCTAACTTCTAACTGACGCTGTTACTGTTTACTTTGCACAAAGAATGTGATAAGTTCTTAAAATCTGTTGAATTGACATACATTAAAATGCCCAGCACAAACAATATATAAAGTTGTTTGACTACACATTATCTGAAAGAGCCAAAATGTTAAAAGAAAACAGCTTCTTCTACCATCAATGAGGTTGATTTTGTTTATGCGATATTGCCAGCCGTACGCCTTAACAACCCCCCTGAACCCTCCCAATCTATTACCCGAATGCAGTGGTTCCCAACCTTTTTCCTTAAGGGAAAACTGACGGCCCCTGACTAAGTGACATATTTTATGGATATTTCATGTTACATTCCAATCTGTACAATAAACCCAAATAGTGAACAATACCTGCAGGAAGTTTGTCTAAAAGGAGTGATTTGGATGAATTCAGTGTTTTCTTGTCCCCAATACTTGGCCATTGTTCTATTAAACAATTTGCTTAATATATACTTTTCTTTACAGAAGGGAACCAAATGCTGATATATAGACCTTTTCAGACCTACCTGTGTATATTTTTTAAGTTTTTTAGCATGGTTTAAAATGACGAAGGTCTTGCAACTGCCCATGAAGCTTCGGTGACCCCTAGTGGAGGTCCTGACCCCCAGGTTTGGAACCACTGCCCTAAAGCCCTGTCTAACAAACCAAAAGTCTATTTAAAGACTTTCCACCTTGTTTTATAAGGTTACACCCTTCACATGCTAACTTTGTTCTTATAACCCTGCCTAACTTCTGAGCTCCTTACTGCCCCATCTAACACCCTAACACTCTACAGTGCCACAACATAACACACAACACAAAACAAAACCCAGTCTAATAACCTCACATCATATTTACCAATCGAATATCTTCCTAAAAGGTCTAACACCCAGTCTTATACTGTGCTAAACACCTTTAATCTTACTAAACAACTGGACTCACAAGGACTCACGGCCCGGGTTCGAATCCGACCTGTGGCCCTTTGCTGCGTGTCATCCCTTCTCTCACTCTGCCCACCTTTCCTGTCTATCTTCAGCTGTTGCTATCCATTAAAGGCAATAAAAGGCCAAAACAAACCTTTTAAAAAAAAAGAACTGGAGAGTATTTCCTCATGATGACAGGATAAATTAGTAATACAGGCGTATAAAGACCCACAGGTAATGACTGAACCTCACTGATGCAACACAACCGGTTAAACTGCACTTCCCCTTCATACTGACAGGTCTTTGACTGGCGGAGCAGACTGAAGTATTGATATGCCAACAAATGTTTAAAGTTGTTTCTGCTTCGATTGCTGTCAAACCGTTGGAGGTGAATTGAGGCTTGTGCTTTCACAATGATTGAGATCCATAAAACAGAACCAGGAGAGGACACAACTTTATCAATGGGTTGACAAGAATGTGTCTGCAGATTGTTTGTGTGTGTGTGTGTGTGTGTGTGTGTGTGTGTGTGTGTGTGTGTGTGTGTGTGTGTGTGTGTGTGTGTGTGTGTGTGTGTGTGTGTGTGTGTCTAAGTAAAGCACTATTCTTCTACGACCTTTAGCTTGATACATGAGTGTCCTTTAATGACAAAAACCATCTGTTGGACACACACAACCACAGAGGTATCCTGGTTCAGATTATGCATCATTAATCACACTCACTGTGTGTGTGTGTGTGTGTGTGTGTGTGTGTGTGTGTGTGTGTGTGTGTGTGTGTGTGTGTGTGTGTGCACAGTATGAGTGCCATTTCAAACATGAAACTTGTGTGTGTGTGTGAGTGTGTGTCACCTGTCCATCAGCGCTGAATGCGAGGCAGGCAATGCCGTGTGTGTGTCCATCGCGGAGCAGAGAGACGGTCTGGGCGGTGAAGGAGTCCCACACACACACATAGGGATCCTTCCCCACCTGACCGGTCGCCACCAGGGAGCGCTCCGGGTGCAACGCCAGGCTGAGGGGGGATGAAAAAGATCTACTACTTAGGTAAAAGTATCAATACCACACTGTAAAAATACTTTTACAAGTAAAAGTCCTGTAAAAAGTAAGTGAAAAATATGCTGTCAGAGTACAATGTGAAATGTAATTACCTCAGACACACACATATACAACACACAGACTGTACATTGTGTATTCACATCATGCTTTCAAACTTAACCACAAAATTCCTTAAAAAGTTAAATGTGTCATTTATAGTTGCTGTTCTTATGAGGACAGCCTTTCTCAGCATTTTTATGTGCCCTTGTTCTACTTTTGATCCAATCCTTTCTGTGTTTGCTCATCTTTATTAGGGCCCGAGCAGTGAGCCCTGCGATGGCCCTGTTGTATCTAAAGAAATTATTATTTTCAGCCAAAAAGAATTTCACTTTTGGCTGCTGCAACATGCTCTGATCCTCGAGAAACATGGTACACATGTCAGTCGTAGCGAAAAATTACATATTCTATGGGTCTCATACATGTGCATTGAAAAATGTCTTGACAGCGCACCTTATAGAGCATCCAAAATTGGTAGGCACATGTATGGTAAATGGTCTGTACTTGTATAGCACCTTTCTATGTCTTCTTTTACACCACGTGCCACATTCACCCTTTCAGACACATTTGCACAGTGATGGCAAAGCCCATCGACCAGCAACTCATTCATTCACATCCACACAATGATGCACAGCATCGGGGGCAACTGGGGGTTCAGTATCTTGTGAAAGGATACTTCAACATGCAAATCAAACCAACAACCTCCAATTAGTGGACGACCATCTCTACCTCTGAGCCACATGTGTATCATGTCCAGATCTACATAAAAGCCTCTTGGAGCCACATCCTAACCCCAACAGGGAGTCAGCCATTTTCATGTCTAATTTTGGCTCAATTTCTGCCATTTCTATGTGCTCTATTTTAACAAACTCCTTCCACAGAATTGATCGCATTGACTTAAAATTAGGTCAGTACCCTCCAGAGAACTCCAAAATAAAAAGTTATCAAAATCTTGAAGCTTCGCCTGACGCTGAGTCCATCGTGGCATCAAATTTCGATGTACCGCCATGAAAAAGGCAGTGGTTGTAACTAGAGTGTACTTTGTCCAATCAACCCCAACCACCTTCAATTGTCTGATAAGAGTCCCAGCCTGAACATATCTACGTGCCAATATTTAGTCATAGTCACTACGCCCCCTACTGGCAACAGGAAGTAAGCACTGTATGGCAATCATAATCTGATTTATGTGAAATTTTCATAGCATGCTGGGGCCGGTTCATTGCTGTTTGTAGCTATAATTTATTCTGTTTCTTATTTGCTTTGTTTTTTTTTGCTGTGTCCTAAATTTATGGAGGGTGAAATATGACATATCTATGAAAAATTACAAAAAATACATGTCTGCCATCTTAAATCAACTTTTAGTTAAAAAAAATACTCTTCTATATAAACCTGCCTTCTCTCCCCTCTTTATCTATCTCTCAGAGGGTCAGTGTGTGTTCTCCTTTACAAAGAGACTGCTATAAATACATTCACTGCTTAATGGCATCATTATCAACACACACACACACGCACATGCACAGACTCCTCTGCGGTCTGTTGATGGTGTAATGATCCCTGGTGCTGGTGTGTGTGTGTGTGTGGTCACCGTAGTGACCTTGGCTTTTCTCTCTCTTACTTCAATAAGAACCCAATCTGACATTAACAGATGTGAATCTCTCCTTTTATATTCCTCAGTCGGGGATTGAGAGATAGACATAGAAAGTAAAAGAGAAAACTCACAGAAAAGTAAACTGCATGTGCGTGTGTATGTGTGTGTGTGGAGTCGTGAGAGGTCAGTCTTGAAGAAGTGTGTAAAAAATGTTGAGACAGTGTATGGAATAACAGAAGAATAAAATAGAACAGAAATAGAACAGGTGTGTCAGCCACAAAGCCCCATTGATCTCAGAGATGCTGTCTGCTCTGCACAAACAGACACACACACACACACACACACACACACACCCTTCGACATCGACTCTCCTCCTCAACCTGCCAGCCAATGAGCCTGCTAGCTGCCGTGGTTGCCATGACAACCACATTGCCAAGGGCACGGGAGCTGAGGATTGAGCGCGACAACTGTAGAGTCAAGGTCAAACATCACACAACACACACACACACACACACACACACACACACACACACACACACACACACACACACACACACACACACACACACACACACACCTGAACTCACCTCTCTGCTGGCTGATACATGATGACTTCATGTTGTATTGCTCATGTGTTTATTCATATTTACACTGAATCATTTATCTGATGTTTTTGTTCTGTTTCTACAAATTTTAGACAAATACCAGCTGGTTCAGGACTTTTATTTTATAAAATGTGTATGTGGTTTTGTTACCTATGGGGGACCTTTTCTGGCATAAACACTGACCTTGTCAGGGCCAGTAGTCCTCATGGGGACCAAAGAGCAGTCCTAATGCGGCAAAATGCCATTCCTGAGGTTGTGGTTAGGGTAAAGGGTAAGGTGTGAATTGAGATTAGGTTAAGGTTTGGGTTAGTAATGAATTGGTTATGGTATAGGTCAGGGTAAGGGGCTGCATGCAAGTCGGCGTAATGTCCTAAAGAGGATTGCTGTTCAAACTTGTCCGAGTGTGTTTGTATGTGAGACATATTTACATTAATGTCATTAAACTGACATTCATTACTCAAAGACACTTGGATATAACCTCTACTGTACTACTACTCTACTATAGAGCAGCAGTACTGTTCCTACTGGAAATACAAACATGCTTACAGTACTACTATCAGCTCTACCAATTAGATTAATTTTACACTTTTAACAAGATAGAAATAATAATAATTATCAATAATCCAAATAAACAAATAAACACTGTAGTGACAAATACAGAAGAGCTCAAGTGTTTTTATGCTTTGTGTGGTCTCTTTATCCCATCAGATAGCCTATTTATTTTTACTTATTAATGCATATAACTAATTCCAAATATTTGTTTTCTGTTTTTGGTCTTTAGTGTGCATACAGTTGCACTTTCAAGAAAGAATAAAGCTGAATTAAAATGTGACTAATGTGATTAAATATCTGGTTATCATGGCTCCTGTCAGTTGGTGGGATATATTAGGCAGCAAGTGAACATTTTGTCCTCAAAGTTGATGTGTTAGAAGCAGGAAAAATGACTTTGACAAGGGCCACATTGTGATGGCTAGACGACTGTGTCAGAGCATCTCCAAACCTGCAGCTCTTGTGGGGTGTTTCCAGTCTGCAGAGGTCAGTACCTATCAAAAGTGCTCCAAGGAAGGAAAAGAACCGGAGACAGGGTCATGGGGGGCCATGGCTCATTGATGCACGTGGGGACCGAAGGCTGGCCCGTGTGGTCCGATGCAACAGACGAGCTACTGTAGCTCAAACTGCTGAAACAGTTAATGCTGGTTCTGATAGAAAGGGGTCAGAACATACAGTGCAGAGGTGCCCAGGGGGTCGCAATGTTATTGCTGATCACAAACATTGCATACACTAGTACTTGTGTATAAACTGAAATATAATATATTCAGAAATTGGAAATTGATATTAACAGTTTGTAAAAATGTGAAAGCCGAAGTTAGGGTCAATTTAGACTCAGAAGTAAGAGTCACACTGACATTTATAATAACACAAATTACTAAAAATGAGTCCTGCAACATCAATTTAATTAACACTTTGGTTTGTGATTCACTCTATGTGTCAAGATAAGGATGTTAAAATAAAAAAATTTATTTCTCACAAGCCCTAGACATCAAGAGAGACTATTAAAACAAAAAAATAAATATATTATAATGTGAAAGATTATCGCAGCAACTGATTAAATATGTTTTGGTATTAGTATTTATTTAATTAATAATGGAGATTCTAATATCAACTCTGTTGTAGAAGCTCATGCATATTAGAATATGGAAAGTTCAGCTGAGGAACTGATGAAAGAAACCCTCAATGAGAGACTGCATTAAATTACATAAAACCAGAGCCTAGACAGGAAGTGACATCAGGTCTTTGACCAACTATATCAGTATGACCATTTGTTATCACATACAGGCTTTTACATCAAAACCACACAGAAGTCAAAAGAAACCGCTGAAGGTCTTCATCAGTGTGAAGGAAAAGAAATCAATGTGAAGATAGAAGTCATGTCTGTGTAGGAGGGAGAGAGAAAGAGAGGAGAATAATGGAGACGCTGAATGGAAGCCATTAGAGTGGAGGACACACACACACACACACACACACACACACACACACACACACACACACACACACACACACACACACACACACACACACACACACACACACACACACACACACACACACACACACCACCACCACCACCACCACCACCACCACTGTGTTAGAAGACTGAACCAGAAGCCCTTGAAGGTATAGATATCTACAATAGAATGATCCAGATTTCAGAAACATGTTAGTGTCTGTGATAAGAAGACAGTTTGGATCTGAAGGGAGTCCACCTCTGTGGACATTCTTAAAGAAACTTTAGGTTATATAGGAGATTTGCCATATAAAGATAGAGTGGAGTTATGGTGTCCTGAGCAAGTGGCAACCTCTGTGGCTGGAAAATGAAGCCAACACAGAAGTAACAAAAAGTTCAGTTCCTCAAAGGGCCACGGCTGTACACAGGAGTGAGTCAGGCTCCATAAGGCCCCATAACTGCCCAATTTTACAGCAGAAAACAAACAAACAAACAAACAAAAAAACAGTTTCGGTTCTCATCTCATAGCTAATTTCCCAGTTCTTGACAACCATACAGGGAGTGAATTTTTATAACACTCACCCACTTAAATTATATAAAGTTTTTAAGTTATGCATGATTAAGGGCGTGGCTGCTTTGAGTGACTATCCCAGGCTGCCAGGTTTTACTCAGTTCACCTCAGCTCCACCTCTTTGCCCAGTTTTTAATTATCTGGGAGCCGG